TCTGGGGAGGGATGATAGCAGGCCCTGGGGAGGGCCATAGAGCACGAGGAGGGGAGCGAAGGAACAGCAGCTACCTCTCTGGTCCTCTGGTCTTCATCTTGAAAATACTCTCAACAAATACTCTTAGCTTTCCTATCTTGTTGCAGTTACTTAATGTTTAAAATCTTTTACTGTGGAAGAAAAAAATAACAACAATAGAAGGTTTCTTGTTTCTCTTCAATTTCAACCCCATAAAAAATATTTAATAACAAGATGAGCCTGCATATGGATGGTATGTGTTTTTAATCTGTTCAGAATCTTGATATTTATTGGGTGAGTTCAGCTTTTGTCAGACTTGGATCATGCAATGCCATGAAGGAAAGAGACTAACTGTTTATAAACCAAGGGAGAAGACTATGAATAAATCAATAGGTAGAATTAAGAAAGGGAAGCAAAAATATCAGGTGACAGCATCAAATGTTTTGTATTCTCAAATCATCAATATGGCTTATAGAAATACTAATTTTCCATCTTATCCTAGACATTTTTTATTTTAGAACTGTAATGATAATTTTTAAATGCGGTTGATGGTCTATTTTTGATCATGGGTTAATTCCCATCTTGCCATGATTTTTTAAATATGTTTTTATTGATTTGAGAGAGAGGGAGAGAGAAACATCAATGATGAGAGAGAATCATTGACCGGCTGCCTCCTGCAAGCCCCCACTGAGAACCGAGCCCACAATTTGGGCATGTGTCCTGACTGGGAATCTAACCATGACCTCCTGGTTCATAGGCTAATGTTCAAGATGCTCAGCTATGGAGCCACACAGCTGGGCAGCATGATTTTTCAACAATCCTTACTGATCTGGACTTGGATTTTTTTTTCACCATTGTAAAATAATTGTCCAAGTCATTGAAATGCTGTACACATGAAAAGGGAATTAACCAAATGAGTTCATTTATGTGAGTACTAGAGGACCAGTGCACAAATTCCTGCACAGGTGGGGTCCAGCCAGCCCAGCCCTAATCGAGGTGGACCAGGGCCCGGCCTATCAGGAGGAGGAGACAGTGGGAGGTCGGCCAGCCCGCACCAATCAGGGCCGATCAGGGCCAGGCTGGCTTGGGGGAGGGGCCGCAGGCAATTAGCTAGTGGGCCCCACCCCTGAATAGGGTGAAGGGGGTTATTGGGGGTGGGACCGGCTGTGGGGAGGGGCTGTGAGTGGTGGGCCATCCGGTCCCACCCCTGAATGGGGTGGCGGGAGCTGATCGGGGGTCAGCGGCTGGGGGAGGGGCCGTGGGAGTTTGGCTGGACAGGCCCTCCCCTAATTGGTGTGTTGGGGGGT